TTAAGCTCATCCACATCCAAGACATCCATACCATCCCGAATCTCCTCAATCCGCTTTTCATGCTGATCTACTACGGCTTTAGGAAGGCTTCCGCAGTACTCCTCCGCGGCAGCGCCTGGAGGGGGGACGAAGCCCTTGCCTAGTTGAATGTCACTCCGTTTCGGCCATTCCCAAGACTGGACTTCTTTGTACCAGAGGTTGAGCTTCTGGGCTGCAATGGCCGCGCGGATACCGAGGGCGCGCTCTGCTGGGGAAACCTGGGAGATACTTTTGGAGAGGATATCGTGGGCGGCCTGTTCATTCCGGGGCACGGCGTCGGTTGCGGACAGCGCCTGGAGGGTTGATTCGGGAGACAGGTTGCCGAGTAAAGGATCGAGATTCTGATAGTCCAGTACCGCCGGACGGCCCGGGGATTGGGACCGCGCGGTGGTGGGCGGACGAGTGGGTGGGTGAAGGGGGTTGACGCGACTGCTGGCCATGTCGGGATAGAACGGCAAGCTCCGGGAGGACGAGGGCTCCCAGACAAGCGGGTCAGGTCAGTCGCGAAATAATCAATAACGGGTTCTCGGTGATGGGGGTCGAGCTGTAGTATCAAGTGTAAAAGAGAGTGGGTGTAGCTGAAGAGCGAGCATGCTGACGCGATCCCGCCAAAGCTATATAAAGGTGACAGCCAGAAGGTTGGGGTGAGATTGGGGATGAGCTGGTACAATCGCGATCACCGGATGGGAAAGTTGCGGAGGTGCAGTGAATGAATCAGTAGGTAGGAGGTATATGTCGGAGCACCGTGAGCAGACAGGACACCGGGGGAAAAGGTCTGACAAAAGAATGAAGAAAAGGAACTAGGGCGAGAAAAAGAAAAGTGAGGGAATAAGAACTCTGGAGGAGCAGAGTTTCGGCGGATGATGATAGATCACACTGCAGGGCCTCAAAACGGCTGAGGGGAGCCCAGGGCGAGGGAAAGTTGGGTGGCTGCAGGAAGAGCCCGATAGATAGATAAAAAGAACGAGGGTGGGATGATTAGGATGATCGGAGAGACCAGCTCAGGTTTGGGCCCAGATGGATGGAAAAAGAGTGACGAGACCAGAAATGGCGACGATGATTCGAAGACGGGGGGGGGATTATGCAGAGGTGAGTTGGTGATGGCGTGGACGGAGACGCGCGGGTTTGGCGATGCCAGAAAAAAGGGTGGAGCCGCCGCCAATCGATTAAGGGGGGAATTTAAGACCAGACCAAGTATACACTGTTAGCTAACTAACTAACAAACACCAATTAATTACTGAGCTGTGGATTCTCCGTTAAGATGTCAGTCAATTTATTTTTATTCTTTTTCTCTTCATTATTTTTATGATGGTTATTTTTATGATTGTTCTTATAATCATTATTATTACATTAATAAGTTAGCAGTATTATTATTTACTACTGTGCTGGCCCTGTGAGATTGGCGACTAATTAGCCTCACCATCTGCCAACTGTACTACTTCCCTTCCCTTTTCTCCCCTTCTTATTCGCGCCTTGTTTTTTCACAGACCAACCGGAAGTAATCATCCTTCCCCATCCCCTCACAAAGCGAAAACAGAGAATATTCAGAGAAATCTCGATCGATGCAGCATAGTTGGAATCTCATGTATCCATCCATTCTAGGAGGATGCCAGCATTTCAAAATGCACATTTTCCTGTGCGACATCGTACTTACAGAAGGGAAAATCTCCCACCCCCTCCTTAATGTCTCACACACGAGGATCCAGTCCCATGCAGCAGCAAAAGAACAGACACATTCCCCCCTCGGAGTTGTTGCGGGTCCTTCTCCCCCCAAAAAAGATCCGCTGTCTGACTTTATGTTCTGTGTACGGTCATCAGAATAAATGGCCGTGCCTCTGTTTTAATCCGTGAAAAATCAATTGAATTGACAGTCCATGGGAGTGCGGCCCCAAGTGGTCGTGCACGATGAAAATAAAAGCAGATTGACTTCGACCGCTTGTCAATAATCTCTTTCTGTTCTGGCTTCTGATTGCTCGAGCGCAGAGTTTATCATACGGATAGCAGATCAGTGATCGACCCTCCCTTGCATATCGTATCTGGCTGGTTATTGGAATTTGTGAGCTGCCTTTGGGGGTCTGACTGTGTCTGTGTCTCCCTTCCGTGCACATCCGCCTACCCACGTACCCTAACACACTACCCACTGTGTCTTGCAGCCGTTGAGGTGGTCTTGCCTTCTTCGTTCCTCTATATCCGAGGTTCATCGTGTTTGGTCCCGCCACTTCTACTCGTTCATTGACGTGTACTTTGCTAAATTGCTACTCCAGCTGGTTGTCGTCGCGGTAGAACAGATAGCTACCAGGCGACAAGGCAACCTTTCCCTTCTGAGCCTCGACACTCCTCAAGGATCAGGCAAGGATCCGAAGGAAAGGCATAAACAGGATACTATACATAGGTCGGTCCTGCGACAAATAACAGAGCCCCTCAGTGAGCAGACATCGTAGTCGAACCCAAAACACAACCCCATTAACAGGGATACTAACTCATCGTTGGAGGGAGATCCTTTGGTGCCTGGACTACCCTCCCCAAAAGGCAGCAAGGAACGGACATCCGTTCGTGATCCCTTGAGATGAAAGAACCTTACCATACAGTAGTCCACTATTGTGTCAGTAAGGATGAGACATGTAAGGAAGATGAAGCAATCGAGGAATGCTACGAACCACGTGGGAGACATCCCCATAGAACCATGGATACGACTGTTACTACTTCAGGGGCCATTCCACTAACTCGACAGCCGCAAGGAGGAGTGGGAGAAGATGGTACCTTGCAAGTCCTAGGCACACGGATCAAGTCTGGGCCATAGACACTCCATGATTATGAAGCCAAAAATAACAAGGTTAGTCCACTGGAAGCTCAGTCTCAGTCCGAGATGGAGTCGATGAGGCGCTGAGCGCCACCCCGAAGTATGCGGAGATATGTCCGTGAGAGATTACTTCCTCACAGCCCGTAGACCAACTGAGTTTGCTTAATGTTTCATCGAAATAACATGGAATCTTCTATGCAGTTGTTATTGTGCTTGCGCTGTTCGTGGCTAGTATACAGACCATGATGCTTAGGGATCCATTGTATGCCTCGGCGATACCAATTGAACATGCTGATAGCGATCATTCTTCCAAAGTGTCCCCCATATAAGTCACATTGTGTAACCTCAATCATGGAGATTCACCTACATAGCTGAATCTCAATCATCGACGTACCGAGTAGGTAGTCTGTTTATTCCCGCCGCAATGGCGATCCCCTTTTCTGCGCGAAGTTTGGTTCGCGGGTTAGCGGGAAATCCCCACCGGCGCGGCCGATCCCCGAACTTATCATCGATAAGGCACCTCTGCTCGAGTCTCGACCCGTCTTCGGCTTCAAACCGGTGGACTAGCGTAGCATCACATCTCTATCCATGCAAGTAATTCCCTGATATCAAGATGCGTTTTCGAACCCAAATAGCCAACGCTTCTATCTTCTCCAGTAAGTGATCTTCCCATCGCCTATCCCTTTCACCTAAGCTACCCCAGTCAAATCAAACCAACCGTGTCTCATCAACCGCATCCCATACAATCCAAGCAACCCCCCATACTAACTCCACATTCCCCTCCTCTCCCCAGAACTAACCGCCTCCCTCTCTTCCCTGGGAAAGGTATGTTGGATGCGTCTTGAAAAAGACTTCATCCGCTTCACCATCATCCCCGACCAAGGCACACAAGTATGGGCTCAACTCCCGATCGTACGTCTCCCCTCTTCAACTTCCCACTCTTTCAAAACGTAAACTAACGATCGTCAGGACACCATCTTCGAAGAAGAATCCTACATCTGTGAATCCAACACCGGCGCAATCAACCTCGAAGTCCCCATCGGCGCTCTCCACCGCGCCCTACGCTCCGCCGTATCCGCCAAACTATCCAACCTGCGACTGACCAAAAAGGGCAACGTACCTCTCCTAGCACTAACGATTCGTGCTACATCATGGACAACAACATCCAATGCCCTCGACATCCCAGAAACAGCAGCAGCAGCAGCAACAGATCACTCCTCATCCACCATCGACAACAGCGCCACCACCACTACTGCTAGACCCTCCGGCACCGGGCCCCGAGAACGCGAAACCGTAATCACCCAAGAAATCCCCATCAAGGTACTCCACGAATCCGCCGTCGAAGGACTCCACCAGCCACGATGTCGAGACCCAGATGTAAATATCCTTCTGCCGAGCTTGATCCAGCTAAAGAGTATCTCGGAGCGGTTTACGAAGTTAGCTACCACGAATTCTTCCAATAAAACATCAACAGCAGGAGGGGCCACTTCAACAACAACACCATCACTATCATCACCGAAGCTAGAACTCTCCGCTAACATGCACGGCTCGCTCAAAGTAGCTGTCGGGACGGACGCGTTCCGGATATCGAGTGTCTGGACGGATCTGTTGAATCCGAGTTTGGATCCCGGGCAGTTGGACGAGGGGAGGGAGTTGGGTCAGTTGCCGAGTGAGCGGATGAGGGAGGTGCCGGCGGATGATGAGGCCGGGTGGGCTAAGGTGAGGATTGATGGAAAGGATTGGAGTCGGATTTTGAGTGTGGGGAGGTTGAATCCGAGGGTTGTGGCTTGTAAGGATTCCTTTTTCTCCCCTTTCGCATTTACTTCTGTGGGAATATGGGGCTAATTAATGAATGGGGATAGCGTTCATTAACGAGACAGCTCTGGTGCTGTATGTCTTTTTACCGGGGAGTTGGAATGAGCAGGATTCGTGTCTGACGGTGAGTTACTTTAATCTCTTATTGAATTGTTGTAGGGTGTCGGCTGACGGGGTTTGTGCAGTATTATATTACTTCTTATGCGGTTTAGATGGAATGAATATGGAGTATAAGCATTATATTATAATTACCTTACGAATATTACAGAGATCAGTGCTTATGCAGGGATACATGTATGGCAATACGTATATAAAAGTTACCTATTAGGAATTAAGGTGCCCAGAGTACGACTTTGGGAATATAAGTAGTGAAGCATCGTATTAATTAATCATGCACAAGAGCCATATAGTACACTTGTCACGAGGCATCATGATACCTCCGACATCAAGTTCGGTTTCGTCCATCTCCATAATCCGCATCATCAGAGAGAACAAAGGAAAATAGAACAAAGAAAAATGAAAAACATAGAAATAATAAAAACGAATAAACCATAATATATGCACAAATACAACATACAAGTAATAATAATAAAAAAAAAAAAAAAAAGAAAAAGGGGTTGGGTTCATGCAAACAACGCCCGAAAGAAGCCGTCTTGCTCTCGGAGAAGACAGCATGCAAGACTTTTGAGGGTCTAAAACCAGGCAAAAGTCAGGACGCGCTTCATAAAGTGTCAAATGCAAATATGGTGAATCGAGGAGGAGATTCGTTAGACATTATCGGATAGGGAGGTGATATAAAATAAGCCGACACTGGGTCCGGATGTAATGGCCGCAGTGTTTTGAGGTTGGTGGACTTGGCAAAGTGAGGTAGAATAATGGATTATTTTGCCATTACGTCGACATAGCGCCCCTTCTTCTTTCCTTTGGCGGCTGCGCCCTTGCGAGCCGTTGGTGCTCCAAGCAGGTCATCGATGGAGCTGGCATTGCTAAGGGAAGTTGCTGGCCTTGGGGGTGCTGCTAATCCGCTTGGAGGCGTGGAGACAGCGGCACCAGTAGAGACAGACCGCTGGATTGAAGGCGGCGGCACACCCAGGGAAGACAGAGCTGGACTGCCCGGAGGAGGCATTCCTGTAGTAGAAGGCGGCCGACTATTGGGAGGCGGCATCATTGGGGATGCACTGGCCGCAGGTGGTGGTGGTGCTGCACTGCTACCGCTGGCCGTTCTGCTAGGAGGTCCTGAAGCACGCGGCGGCGGCGGGGTAGCGCGCGCAGCGGTAGCGCTGTTGGGGTCCTTCTTGTTGACCCATTTCTTCAGATCCTTGTCGTAGTAGAATGAGTTCTCCTCACCAAGCTTGGCTCGGATAGGCTTGTTGGGGTTCAGGTCTTCCTTCTTGCCACCAGCAGCACCTCCGAACCAGCCTCCGAACCAAGACTTCTTAGCGGGTGCAGGTTTTTGGGCTACAAGTAATAGATTAGTATAAATCTCATCGTGAACAAGTTGACGGGTACTCACCATCCGCTTCTGCAGCCTTTCTGAAAGCTTCATCCGCTTCGCGATCCTTGCGTGCCTTTTCAGCCTTCTGAATGGCTGCGGCACGCGCGGCGATATCATCATCGTCATCATCATCCATAAAGGACTTCTTCTTCGCCGGCTCTTCTTCGTTGACTTCTTCCGACGGTGCCGCTGCAGGTTCTGCGTGGCTTTCAATGGCAGGAGGCTCGTAACCGCTGCTCACACCGGGAGGCATATAGCCACCCCCGTCTGAAGGAGACTGGTTCATGAATGGCTGGTCAAAAGAACCATAACCTGCGGGCTGATACGGCGATCCGCTGCCGTAAGACTGTTCTACGGGACCAGTCGGGGCTTCCGCATGAGCTTGAGGAGCCAGGTCTTCCTTGACGGGTGCAAGAGGCATGTAAGACGTTTGAGGAGGGGTCGACTGATAACCAACAGCCGGCGGGGAGTTGTACAGCATTCCTCCTTGGTACATGTTGCTCTCAACCGGAGTGGAAGGTTCCTGCGAGCCGCGTCGCTGGGCCAAACCAAACCCATAGGAAGAAGATCTTTGAGAGTCGAGAGACGATCTGCCACGCAACTGTTCAGGCGAAGAAGTTGGAGCATACTGGTTATTTGGCTGGTAACGTGACGGGCCACTACTGTAGCTCGGCTGCGCAGAGTACGACCCGTAGATATCCGACACCGATGGCGAGCGACTAACAGTAGGGGTACCTGCGATCTTGGCAAAGGGGCCGATGTCTCCATCGCCAGCCTTTGCTGAACCGGCAGACCCAGCTTCGTTGTCCTCGCCGGCAACAAAACTGTTGAACTTAGCCCACATTGAGCCAGAGACCTTCTCCATGCTGGGCCTGGATATCCAGGATGAGCCTCCGTCGCTTGTTGTTTGTCTGAGACGTGCGGAGAGCTCGTCAACACCGAAGTACAGGTGTTGATGTTGATAGGGCGATGGCTTAGTGGTTGCCTTCAGGGTAGCTGCAATTGCATCACAGTATTGCTGAGCTTCCGATTTGCGGCCTTGATCCGCCAAAGACCACGCATACACCAACTTGAAAGCAAGCAGATGAGGAAGCGTCGGCTTAGGAGAAGCCGAAAGAACAGAGGTGGCGTACTCATAAGCTTCGGTCAGAAGAATAGAGTCCTCATCCTGTAGAGCAGCGAGAGACAAGTGCTGATGATCAGCGCCAAGGAGGACGACGCTTGCCTGCGGGTCATCCACCCCGCCGAACACAGCAGCTCTGGAGAAGATGAAGCAAATGTGCGCAGCCTCGGTCCGGCCATACGACTGTAAGAGCCTGCCAAGAGCTAATAGCGCCTGGTAGTCTTCTGAACTGCGGTTACTCAAAACCAGACCGAGGGTATCTCTCCAACTGTCGAGGCCATCCAGTGCATTCTTAGATGCTCCTTGTCCATCAACCTTGCTGACCATCTGCAATCCAGCTCGGGCAGAGGGGGGTACAAGCTCGTCAACGCTCTCTTCGACATTGCCGGCAAAAACCTCATAGAGCGCTGCAAGTGATTCTGTGTTACCAGAGGCAGACCTCACTTCGCGTCTTACGAATTCCTGGACAACTTGCTTCCACACAGATTTGTCCATTGTTGACGCTATGATCATGGCATGTCCCCAAAGGCGATGGTCAACAGCGCCCCAAACGGCTTTTTCACGCTCACCCACCAGAAGGCTGTTGCGAATGCTCTCGACCGCTTGAGGATCGGCGGCATCGGGACGAGAAGGAGCATCCAACGGCTGGGTTGTGCTGAAGGATGGCAAGCCATTACCATAGGGCTGTGTGGAGTCAACATCCTGCAAATGCGGGAAGATGATTTGGCGTAGGGACTTCTGAATTTCAGGCGATCCTTCCAGAACACCGTCATGTTCAACCAAAACCCGAACGACCTTCCACAGCAGTATCTTCTCTTCGCTTCTCTTCTGTGAGTCCGCATGCATGTAAACAGTCTGGGGGATGCCCTCATTTTCAAATGCAGCGATCTTGCTAGAAAGCCAAGCAAGCAGATCCTTCTTCTTGGACTTGGATTTCAGCGGCCCCGGATGGCGCGCAATAGTATCGGGTACAGGAATCCAGTCACTGAGTTGATGAGTCTTGACCTCTCCAGGAGTAGACTTGATCTTCGGGGTAGCTTGGCCGGCAGAGTATCGAGGAATATGCTTAGGGAAGCAGGAAAGGACTGAGCCACCGAATCCAAATTTGACAATAGGAGCCCCCTTCCAGCGCTCCAGGGGATCGAACTGTTGATCATCGGTAGGAGGGATAAAGTCCAGTGACTGAGAGGCCACGCGGTTATGTGCAGACATCGGAGCTGGTGCGTAGGGGTTCACAGCCTTGGTGGGAGACCCCGCTCCATGAACAGATGCAGGCCTCTGTAGGGTATCCATAGATGGCACAGACAACCTCGGCCCAAGCGTTTGCTGACTTGGCGACTGTGTCAACGACCTACGCGGAGGAACGAAGGTCGGATCATCCGATGGGAGCACGGGCGCTGGTGGAACGTTGGCAATAGGGGCAATGCGTTTGGAGAATTCGTCAACATAATCAGGAGGAGCGTACTGGTTCCTAGGAGGCGACATCGGCTGCTGCGACGTTTGATGCACGCTGGCACCGATGTTGACAGCTTCCGGAACGTGCGCGGCTTCAGGCGGCTGAATGGGGGAATACTCAGCAGGGCCAGTCGGGTGCGATTGTACCTCGATAGGAGGAACGATAGCTGGCTGTTCCATGGAGGAACGTCGCTGTTCTGATTGCTCTTGAGGACGATAAGAGACCTTTTCATGGTAAGCCAGAGGGCTTGACGTGCGAGGCTGGAATGGAAGTGCAACTCCCTGCGAGGGTGGAGCGGAAGGCTGAGAAGCATAGCGATTGCGTGGCGGGGGAGCGGTCGCCGGTGGAGGCGCCGGCGAATATCTAGGCGATGACGGAGGCTTGATTCCGGCTTGCAGAGTAGGTGGCTTCGGCGAGTACCTCGAAGTAGCACTAGGAGGAGCTGGGCCGCTTGGAGCACCGGGTGCGGACAGGCTTGCATACGGATCTAGCCGCTCGGGCTGCTGAACTTGAGGCTGGGGATAAGCATCAGCCGCTGCCGGGGGAGCAGTGGAAAGGCTAGCATATGGATTGGCCGGCGGGGGAGGCGGATGAGATGGCGCGGGTGGCATTGCGTTGGCACCAGGGGTATACCGTCCCGAGCTAGCTGGCCGAGACTGTGGCCGAGGCGGTGGTAGAGGCAGCTCTTCATAGAAGTTCTTCGGAGCGGCTACCTTGGCGGTTGATTGTGCACCATCCGGCTGCGCTCCCAAGGAAGGTGGTGGCATGGAAGTTGACGGCGGAGGAACTGGAATGCTATTGCTTCGTGGGGGAGGTGGAGTAATACCCGGCTGTGTAACCACTGGCTTATGACTAGCCACAGGCCGTCGAGGTCGTGTGAGATCCTCCGGGAGATCATATGGTGACCTGTAGCCTTCCTTTGCCCGTTCGGCAAAGCTTTCTGCTTTGTTTGCGGTGACATTTGGTCGCGGCGGTTGCGTAAAGTAGTCCGCAGAGGCGGCCATGTTTGCCGGAGGCGCTGCACCGGGCACAGGGATCCCTTGAAGTAAATCCGACGTGGACGGCTGATGCGGCGTATAAGCAGTTGCTGTTGCACTGGGTCTGACAGAAGACTGTGGGGTCCCGAAAGGACTACTCAATCCTGGGACAGCAGCGCCGGCAGTGGCCCCATTGGTATCCTGGCTCGTCGGTGCCTGTTCAGTCGTAGCTCCTCCGATGTCATCCTCTAGAAGTAGGTCGTCGTCATCATCGAGTTCCATCTGCCACCGCGCAGCCAAGTCGTCTTCGGAGGGAGCAACCTCCGCCTCTTCTTCAGCAAGCTCGGCCTGCCAGCGCGCAGCCAGATCCTCTTCAGAAGAGGACTTTTTGACGGTTTTATCCGTTGCTGCTGCAGCTAGAACATTATCGAACTCCTGCGCAGCCGGGTCCTCTTCGAAAGCTGATATTTCAACATTGTTATTGGTTGTCGCAGCAGCGAGAACGTTATCAAGCTCCTGCGCGGCCGGGTCCTCATCAAAAGCTGAAATCTCAACATTGTTGTTGGTTGTCGCAGCAGCGAGGACGTTATCAAACTCCTGCGCAGCCGGGTCCTCTTCAAATGCTGATATCTCAACGGTGTTATTAGTTGTCGCGGCAGCGGAAACATTGTCGAGCTCCTGCGCAGCAGGATCCTCCTCGGGAGATGGCTTTTCAGCACTGTTGTCTGAAGCCGCAGCAGCTAGAACATTGTCGAGCTCTTGCGCGGCCGGC